TTTTCTGACATTTTTATTCTTTCCATCTGCTTTTATTTTTTTCTTTTTGTGAAATTCTATTTTAAACTCCGAAGATGAATCAGGAAAATCAACGCAGCTTCTTCAACAAATAAATTACAAGAAAATGATATACAAGAGATACAGGGGAAATGTATAAATTATATAGACTTAAAAACACATCAGCTAATCACAATGTATGAATTTTATTTGGGAATGTAGACGGAACAGAATCACCCATGTGTTTCTGGTTGTTCTGAAGGGTTATAGATATACAGGGGTTTGTTATATTCATTGTTTATTTACATATATGTTTAAAATTCTCCATATAAGGGTTTTAAAAATTCCATTGGAAGCCTTATGTTTTAAAATGTACTCAGAATTTGTTTTAATCAGGGATGTTAAGATCTGCAGACATGAAAGTGACTGTCCCATGGAAATATGTTCATACTCACAGATCCCTAGAAATAGGAGGCACAGGGATGCCCCAGGCAGAGGCAGAAGGAGAGAGGGGAAGGCATGAGCAGGAGACTCTGCTGTGGTCTCTGTGGGACAGCAAGGGCAGGCAGGGCAGGCAGGCTTAGGCTGTCCAGCGTTAATAGCTTCAGCAGGCTCTGGGGCATAGGTGCCATTTCTAGTTGCCTAGTACCTCACCCTGGGGTGATTAAGGAAGGGCGGTATTGTCTCCTACAGTATCAGAGCCAGATAAAGTAGGTGGTTAGGAGTATGGGTTCTCAATTGGTAGTTTAATTGTCTGGCCCTGGGAAAGGCAATCTTTTCCCAGTAAACACCAGATGCTATAGCATCAAGAAAACAGAAAACGAGAAAATACAATTAATGCATTCTGTGTGCACAGATGGAGTCTTCCTTTGCTTCCCCAAAGGAAGAGTCCACAGGAGCCTGGCACTGCTGGCCCTGAGGAAACCCTGAAAATGTTGGTATCTGCAGATCCTCTCCAAAAAGAGGTCGCCAATCTCCTAAGACTGCAAGCCTGACCCCAGCATTCTGGGAGCCAAGAGGGAGAAAGAGTCTGCAGATCTCCCTGCTCAGTAAATTGGCTTTCACTAAATACTGTCTTTGCATAAGCAGCATTATCCAGTGTCCTGGAGCCTTAGAAAAGTTATGTTTCAATGTCTGAAGAAAATAAATTGTTTCTTTTTCCGATGTCAGGGAGGAGCATTTGACTGCCAGCGTGGACTGAGGGATCTTGGGATCACAGTCTTCCCAATGTGCTTTGAACCGACCCTCTGTGTCTGCCTCACCATCTCCTCTGCTTACCTAGACACTTGGGAACCCTAACACAAGCCCTTCTAGGAGTCTGTGGTGTGGCTCAGCTGCCTCTGTAGGCATCTCTTGGGGTTAAACATTTTCCACTCTGCTAAGTCAGTGCCATCTATTCTTCTGCTTCATCTTCAGAAGACCCTGAGCCCTTCTTCACCCTCCTTGCCCCACCCTCCACACCAAGTCTGTGGTGGCCTTGAGGCAATAGGGCTGCTGCAACAAAAGCCAAAATTTACAAATAGGATCTAACTAAACTAAAGAGCTTCTGCACAGCAAAAGAAACTCTCATCAGAGTGAACAGGCAACCTACAGAATGGGAGAAAATGTTTGCAATCTATCCATCTGACAAAGGGCTAATATCCAGAACCTACAACGAACTTAAACAAATTTACAAGGAAAAAAAAAAAACCATCAAGAAGGAGGTGAAGGATATGAACAGACACTTCTCAAAAGAAGGCATTTATGTGGCCAGCAAACATATGAACAAAAGCTCATCATTACTGGTCATTAGAGAAATGCAAATCAAAACCACAGTGAGATACCAACTCATGCCAGTTAGAATGGTGATCATTAAAAAGTCAGGAAACAACAGATGCTGGAGAGGATGTGGAGAAATAGGAATGCTTTTACACTGTTGGTGAGAGTGTAAATTAGTTCAACTATTGTGGAAGACAGTGTGGCAATTCCTCAAGGATCTGGAACCAGAAATACCATTTGACCCAGCAATCCCATTACTGGGTATATACCCAAAGGATTATAAATCATTCTACTATAAAGATACATGCACACGTATGTTTACTGCAGCACTATTCACAATAGTAAAGACTGGGAACCAACCCAAATGCCCATCAATGATAGACTGAATAAAGAAAATGTGGCACATATACACCATGGAATACTATGCAGCCATAAAAAAGGATGAGTTCATGTCTTTTGCAGGGACATGGATAAGCTGGAAACCATCATTCTTGGCAAACTAACACAGGAACAGAAAAGCAAACACCACATGTTCTCACTCATGAGTGGGAGTTGAACAATGAGAGCACATGGACACAGGGAGGGGAACATCACACCCGGGGGCCTGTTGCAGGGTCGGGGCCTAGGGGAGGGATGGCATTAGGAGAAATACCTAACATAGATGACGGGTTGACAGGTGCAGCAAACCACCATGGCACGTGTATACCTGTGTAACAAACCTGCACGTTCTGCTCATGTATCGATAATTTAAAGTATATAAAAAAAATAAAAGTCACAGGATGTTTGTGATAGGTCTATTACACTGATGTTGACATCACACATGGTTGACTATGTGGAGACTCCAAGTGAAATCTCTTGCAGTTCTCGGTGCCAGGAAAATATGTATTTCTGGATAAAAACTCAAAAATTTTAGAAGAACATCCAAGTTTCATAGTCTAGAGCTCTAACACTGGAATCTTTTCCAAATTTAAGGATTAATGATTTACCTAAATCTAAAAATAGTAGGTTGCAGATGTATTTAAACAGTGTGCTTAGGTAGTATGTTTATATATTAAGATTAAAATCATCTTCTAAAGTTTATTAATTCTAATATAACCTTTATTGTTTCATGTAGACATATCTTTCTGATTCCCAGGATAATTTAAACAATTAATTCAAAGCAACTATTAACTGAGATCTAGACTGGGATATCTATTCATGCATTTGAAGCTTTAGATATGTATTTCAAGTCAGAAATGTGTGCTGGTCATGGAAAGTTGTGAGTTAGAGCCTCAGGTAAGTTTTTTTCATGTGAACATGCTGCTTCCAATTGTTGTTATGCCCAGAGCAGGCAATTAATAAATACCCTTGGAACTGAATGAGTGATTAACTGCAAATATCACAATACATCTTCTTAGTTGGCATGATAATTAGACATATTTAGTCCTTGCTGTGACCTAAGAATGGAATTCTTTTCATTAAATGTTTAATATCTCACCCTGTTCATACAGCTGGAAATACTGATTCAGTTTGATGTGAATTCAGTCTTATAATAAAAGACCCATCATTATAAATAAAAGACCCATGCACTTATGCTTCCTATAGTATTGGAACTTCCAACTTGCAGGCAAAATAGATATGGTTCATATTCTAAAAAACCACAAGAAATCTCTCTTTATTCATAATAAACACAGAATTAGGTATTCTATTAAACTGAACAATAGAAATCACTGGGCATGACTGCATAAACTATATCACGAATTGTCGGAGTGTATGGAAAGGTCAGTGGGCCATTTCACTCCACGCTGTGCCAGGGGTCAAACAGGAGGGCTGACAATGACTCACTGCCTGGGTCACCCAGGGCATGTGGTGTTACCCCTAACGTCAAGCTTAACCCAAATCCGTAATCCATAAATCTAACCCTTAATCCCACACTGGCCAAATCACAACCCCAACCCCAACTCCAAGCCTAGAGTCAGCCATAACCTTAACCTCTAACAATAATCACTAACTCTTAAACCTAACCCCTAACCAAAACCATTCCCCATTGTTAACTTTAACCCTATACCCTACCCCTAACCCTAACCCTAACCTCAACCCCAACCCAAACCCTAAACCCTAACCCCAATTCTAACCCCAACTCCAACCGTAACCCTAATCCTTACCCCTAACCCTAACTTCAGCCTAACCCCAACCTCAACCCTAACCCTAGCCCTAACCCGAACCCAAACCCGAACCCTAACCTAACCCGAACCCTAACCTAACCCTAACCCTAACCCTAACCCTTCTGCGTGGAAGTGAACGCGATCCACACACCTGCGTGTGTGAGACTATCACGGCAACCGCGACACCCACGGGCACGGCCTCCTTCACGGAGAGAGGGCCCGGAAAGCTCAAGACTCTCATGGAGGTTCAGTCCCACACTCCACTCCACCCTTCCGGGCTGGCTTCTCCTTGCTGAAGAGGCGTGCGAGGCCCAAGAGCGGCTTCCAGTCCCCGCAGAATTCCTGGAGAGGCCGAGAGAGCCAGCCCCCGAAGCCCGCCCCCCTCCCCCCTCCCCCCTCCCCCCTCACCGTCCGCCCACCCCCTCCCCCCTCCCGGGCTTCTCCGGCCCCACCCATACCCAGGCCACAGAGCCCTGGGCCCTGTGGTTCCCGGCTTCCGAAGGCGGGCTGACCCAGGGGTCCTCCCGCATTCCTGAAGGGGTGGAGCTTGGGGGCCTTTATAAGGGCCGCTGGCCGGCTGGGCCGGCCTCCTGGCTAGACCTGCGCGCCGTGCACAGGCCGACTGAGGGGCACGGGAGCCCGCCGGCCTCTCTCTGCCCGTGTCTGTCCGCGAAGTTCTGGCCAGGTCTCCCCGCGATGGCTCTCCCGACACCTGCCGACGGCGCCCTCCCAGAGGAAGCCCGAGGACTAGGACGGCGAAGGAGACTCGTTTGGACCCCGAGCCAGAGGGAGGCCCTGCGAGCCTGCTTTGAGCGGAACCCGTACCCGGGCATCGCCACCAGGGAAGAGCTGGCCCAGGCCATCGGCATTCCGGAGCCCAGGGTCCAGATTTGGTTTCAGAACGAGAGATCGCGCCCGCTGAGGCAGCACCGGCGGGAATCTCGGCCCTGGCCGGGGAAACGCGGCCCGCAAGAAGGCAGGCGAAAGCGGACCGCCGTCACCCGGTCCCAGACCGCCCTGCTCCTGCGAGCCTTCCAGCAGGATCGCTTTCCAGGCATCGCCACCAGGGAAGAACTGACCAGAGAGACGGGCCTCCCGGAGTCCCGCATTCAGATTTGGTTTCAGAACCGGAGGGCCAGGCACCCGGGCCAGGGTGGCAGGGCATCGGCGCACGCAGGCGGCCTGTGCAACGCGGCCCCCGGGGGGTGTCCCCCCGTTCCCTCGCCGGTGGCCTTCACCCACACCGGGGCGTGGGGAACGGGGCTTCGCGCACCCCACATGCCCTGCGCGCCCGGGGCTCTCCCACAGGGGGCTTTCTTGAGCCAGGGAGCAGGGGCCGTCGCCCCGCTCCAGCCCAGCCAGGCTGCGCAGGCAGCAGGGATCTCCCAACCCTGGCCCCAGCCCCACCACGGACTCCCCTGGGACGTGGGAGGCGTAAGCACACCCTGGCCCGGCGGCTCAGCTCGAGCGGGCCCAGGCTGTCCCACCGAGCAAGGGCCCGGCAGGCTGTGGCGCTGCGGGCCCTGGTTCCCCGGGCTTTGGCTCGGGCGCGGAGGCCACCCCCGGGGAGTCTGAGGGTGGGAGAGCGCCCCTTCCGGAGGAGCCAGCGCGGCGTAGGCAAAATCCCAATCCCCGCGTGCCGGGGCAGGTTGGGGGATCCCTGCTGCCTGCGCAGCCTGGCTGGGCTGGAGCGGGGCGACAGCCCCTGCTCCCTGGCTCACGAAAGCCCCCTGTGGGAGAGCCCCGGGCGCGCAGGGCATGTGGGGTGCGCGAAGCCCCGTTCCCCACGCCCCGGTGTGGGTGAAGGCCACCGGCGAGGGAACGGGGGGACACCCCCCGGGGGCCGCGTTGCACAGGCCGCCTGCGTGCGCCGATGCCCTGCCACCCTGGCCTGGGTGCCTGGCCCTCCGGTTCTGAAACCAAATCTGAATCCGGGACTCCGGGAGGCCCGTCTCTTTGGCCAGTTCTTCCCTGGTGGCGATGCCTGGAAAGCGATCCTGCTGGAAGGCTCGCAGGAGCAGGGCGGTCTGGGACCGGGTGACGGCGGTCCGCTTTCGCCTGCCTTCTTGCGGGCCGCGTTTCCCGGGCCAGGGCCGAGATTCCCGCCGGTGCTGCCTCAGCTGGCGCGATCTCTCGTTCTGAAACCAAATCTGGACCCTGGGCTCCGGAATGCCGATGGCCTGGGCCAGCTCTTCCCTGGTGGCGATGCCCGGGTACGGGTTCCGCTCAAAGCAGGCTCGCAGGGCCTCCCTCTGGCTCGGGGTCCAAACGAGTCTCCTTCGCCGTCCTGGTCCTCGGGCTCCCGCCGGGAGGGCGCCGTCGCCGGGTGTCGGGAGAGCCATCGCGGGGAGACCTGGCCAGAACTTCGCGGACAGACACGGGCAGAGAGAGGCCGGCGGGCTCCCGTGCCCCTCAGTCGGCCTGTGCACGGCGCGCAGGTCTAGCCAGGAGGCCGGCCCAGCCGGCCAGCGGCCCTTATAAAGGCCCCCAAGCTCCACCCCTTCAGGAATGCGGTAGGACCCCTGGGTCAGCCCGCCCTCGGAAGCCGGGAACCACAGGGCCCAGGGCTCTGTGGCCTGGGTATGGGTGGGGCCGGAGAAGCCCGGGAGGGGGTAGGGGGTGGGCGGACGGTGAGGGGGGAGGGGGGAGAGGGGAGGGGGGCGGGCTTCGGGGGCTGGCTCTCTCGGCCTCTCCAGGAATTCTGCGGGGACTGGAAGCCGCTCTTGGGCCTCGCACGCCTCTTCAGCAAGGAGAAGCCAGCCCGGAAGGGTGGAGTGGAGTGTGGGACTGAACCTCCATGAGAGTCTTGAGCTTTCCGGGCCCTCTCTCCGTGAAGGAGGCCGTGCCCGTGGGTGTCGCGGTTGCCGTGATAGTCTCACACACGCAGGTGTGTGGATCGCGTTCACTTCCACGCAGAACACCAGAGCGAAACCCAAGAGCAAAGCCGCATCCCGGGCCTCATGGCCTGAGGATGGATTCCTGCATCCTGCAACATGGGGGGAGTCTCCACTGTGGCTGCTCTGGAAAGTGGCAAGGAGAGCGACGACACCGAGCTGGCCTTCCTTGCTTCCCTGGAAGTTTCTGGGTCCCCGCAGAGCTCGGGAATCAAACAGTCGACATTGTCACGTTTATTTGCTTCCAGTTCCTGGACATTTTCTTAATTTCCTTTCAAATATATTAGGCATTCTGTGAATTCCTGTAACTTCTTGGTGATTTTAATTGTCTGCATTAAATGTTTAAAGTAAATTATTTTTCTGAAAAGCAGAAATATCCATAGTTGCATATATGATTGAAATATTTTACACAGATTTTCTATGGCATCTATCACCACCTCATGCGAAATTCCAAGTTTTTTCATTTGAAACACCCTTCCCATCAATAGACCATATTGTAATAATTTGTTGTACATGATTACTTGTATACCATTAGAAAATTAATTATATATTATGTACATATTTTTGAAATACTGCAATGCAATAAATATGATCAGAAGTATTGTTTTCTCTAACATAAACCTAATATGAGTAAAATTATTTACCTGAATTCAGATCTTTTGGCTTCAATTGCCATTCTGTCTCATTAGCACTTCCCCAATCCATAAAAGATATCAGTTGTATTTTTTAATTCATTATTTATTGAAATGGATTATTTTACGTTATAATGTTTTTATGGCAATTTAGGACATTTTCAATAAATATAGTGATCTTGAGGCCCTGGCTAAGTATTCCTTTTGTATTAGAAATCAGATTTTCCTGGCACAACTTCATTGCTTGCAATGGCATTTATAAAAAGTATGAATGCCAGCACACATTGTATTTCGATACTGTACTCAGTTGTTCATGCATAAACATTTAATTAGCTATGAAACCAAGTACAAATGCTGAATGTATAGGACATATCAACAAAGTCAGATTCATCACAGTAGAAAACAATAAAAGACTAATTTTCTATGACATGTCACCTGTTCATTAGTTCTTTAATATGATTTAGGCTATTACAGGAAAATGTATGCATCACTATCCATGTTTTCTCAACTTTTTTAAATCTAGGTCCTGAAGGGCATAAAAATAATGTGTACTATCAAATTTATTTTTATAGACTTTTTTTTTTTTTTTTTTGAGGCGGAGTCTCGCTCTGTCGCCCAGGCTGGAGTGCAGTGGCATGATCTCTGCTCACTGCAAGCTCCACCTGCCGGGATCACGCTATTCTCCTTCCTCAGCCTCCTGAGTAGCTGGGACTACAGGCGCCTGCCACTATGCCCGGCTAATTTTTTGTATTTTTAGTAGAGACGGGATTTCACCGTGTTAGCCAGGATGGTCTCGATCTCCTGACCTCGTGATCCGCCCGCCTTGGCCTCCCAAAGTGCTGGGATTACAGGCGTGAGCCACCGCACCCGGCTTTTATAGACTTTCAACGTTTCTTTTGCTGTATTTTCTGTGCATCTTGGTATGAATATATGGAGACAAGGACAAATGTACATTTAAGTGGCTATATGAATTTTGCTTATATGGCTAATTGCTTATATGGATGTTGTAAATGACAAGATAAAATAGTAAAGTTTGATAAACTTATCTGTGCCCTATTTAGTTCACTTACTGTATAACTTAATTCAGTCACTAATAAGTTTAAAAAGTGTTTTTTAAAAGCTGCAAACCACTCTTTATTACACATTTCTGAATCAGGAAGGGGTAAACTGTGACACAGTTTTCTTGTGCCACTGACTTTTTTGGGGAGAAACGTTCTGCAATAAAATAAGTTTCCAAACTCCATTTTTAAAAAAACTTGAGTTTTTTTCTATGATTAACCTTCACTTTCAGTCCCTTTTACCCAAGGAGTGGTTCCTAGGTCATCTTTTGGAAGTTTAGTTTCTGGAAAGTTTTCAGCAAACCTCTCCTGTGCTTTTCCCATTTGTTGTTCCTGTTCTTGTTTTGGAGAAGGTGAGTCTCTTTAATTCAGGGTGGTTTGTCTGTCTCCAATCTGCATGTGTTTGCCGAAGCTGAAGCTGTATCGGAGTTTTTATTCTCCCACCATCGTTCCCTAGGCCTTCTCCTGTTTTCAACACATCTTTTTCAACGTCTTCTGATTTTTGTCGCTACCAGTAATTTCAGAATGAACAGATGCAGGAGCATCATCTCTTTGGAAATTTCCTTCACTTCCAATCTGCTCCTATGTTTTCCAGCTCTATCTTTATATTTTAGATTCTCCAATATCTTATTTTTATAGTCTGTATTCTGTAACCCATATTTTACTCATATATTTTAAAAATCCTTTTCTTCTTTACAACTCAATTCCTTCTTAGTTAATGTTGGACCAACAAATGATTCATCTTTCTCATCAAGGAAAAGAGCTCTAACCTGCCCTGGTTCACATCTGACACAGCTATCACTGCCAGGGTGCATGTCATAAGATAAGGAGTTTTGATATCCTGATCTTGCTGATTTGACAGTTCAGTCACTCACTTTATTTGGAAGACTAACATCATTAGAGTAGGTCTGACAATAATAATCTGAGATTGACCAAGGAGCAGGGTTCTCTGTGAGTACTTCTACATCAGACTTTCATTACCTCCATTTCTCCCACAGCGGAGTGTGTTTCTGAGTTCTTCCAGCTGCGTGCGTAGCTCCTGGCGGTGGCTCGTGCAGCTCTGAGCAGCCGTCCTGTGCGAGGCCAGCTTCTCCCGTTCCCGCACCTGCCGCCGGCAGCTCCGCGTTCGCGTTCCAGCTTCTCCGCCTGCCGCCTCTGTTGGGCCCGCTCGGGCTCGGGGAAGAGGAGGGGCGACCACAGCGAAGGCGACGGCGGCGAGGACGGCCCGAGACCGTGAGGTCGGTCGCGAGGCGGCTGCGGCCGCGGAGGGGCTGCGCGGGGCAGAAGCGGAGGCCGGCGGAGCCAGAGCCACAAGGGCGCGCGGGCAGCCACAGGCAGCCTCCCGGGGCCAGGAGGCCCCGAAGCGCGGAGCCTAACGGGGCTGCGGCAACGAGCAAGGGGACGGCGATGGCCCTGCCCGATCTGCGCGACCTGGAATCCCGGGAACGATGGTTCCTTCCCCAGCCACGGGGACCGCGGGAGGAGCCTCGAAGTCCAGGGACCAGAAGCGCTCCGGCCGTTCCCGAGTGGAGCTGGAAACTATGGCCAAGAGTGTTTTATATCGAGTTTCCATGTGGCTAGCTATGACCTGCTGGTTACTCGTATTTTTTTTTCCATTTGTTGAGCTATTATTGACAAATTGAAAAGTGAATTTTTTACGGTGTACAACAGTGTTTTGAGATGTGTATGCGTCTTTAAATTATCTCAGTTAAGCTAGTTAACATATCTATCCCCTCACATAGTTAATACATTTCTGTGCGTGTGGTGAGAGCACCTGAGATCTACTTTTGTAACAAATTTCAAGTACACAGTATTATTAACTATAGTCACCAATCCGTACATGAGGTCCCCAGCAGTTACTCACCTTATAACTGACGGTGTGCTCCCTTCCATGGTTATCTCCCCACTTTCCCCACTTCCTAGCTCATGGGAACCACCATTCTACTCTGTTTCCATGGCTTTTCTTTTTTTACTTTTTTAGATTTTACATACAAACGAGATCATGCAGTAGTCCTTCTGAATTCAGCTTATTTCACTTAGCATAATGTCTTCAAGATTTATCAGTATTGTAAATGAAAGAATTTCATTTTTTATTAAAGCTGAAATTATATATCTCTCAGTTAATCTATTTATCTGTATCAGAGGAGTGCAGATACCCTTGACGATACTGATTTTATGTCCTTTGGCTACATACTCCCAATTGGGATTATGGTAGTTCTAGCTTAAAAACGTAAGGAACCTCCATACTGTTTTTCGTAATAGCTGCACCATTTGACATCCTCAGCAACAGTGTACACAAGTATCCTCTTTTTTCTGCACCCTAACTCCTTTTATCTTTTGACTTTTTGATAATAGGTATCCAAACACCACGGTAAGGTGATACCTCATTGTGATTTTGATTTTAATTACTCTGATCATTAGTGATGTTGAGCATTTTTTTATATACCTGTTGGCCATTTGTATATCTTTGGAAAAATTGCTATGTATATATTTTGCCCAATTATTAATCAGGAAATTGTTTTTAATTCTGCTGTGGGTTCTTCTTTTTAATTAATTAGTATGATATATATTTTGGATAGTAACATATTATCCTACATATGGTTTACAAATATTTTCTTCCATTCCATATAATGCCTTTATATTTTGTTGATTGTTTCCTTTATTGTGCAGCAACTTTTTACTTTGACATAGTTCCACTTGTTCATGTTTGCATTTGTTGACTGTGTTCTTGGGGTGTCAAATCCAAAGCATTATTGCCATGACCAGTGTCAAGGAGGTTTTT